CAGTGTCCAGTTCTGGTTTCATATTGCCATACTGTGGATCGTACTTCTCCTCTTTTGTCTGTATGTTTCCTTGGACAGGACTGCCACAAGCTTCACTCTCAAGACTCCCACTCATGGGCACTGCCCATAGACTTCCACTCATCTGCACTATTGTCCCAGTGTCCAGGTCTGGTTTCATATTGCCATACTGTGGATCGTACTTCTCCTCTTTTGTCTGTATGTTTCCCTGGACAGGACTGCCACAAGCTTCACTCTCAAGACTCCCACTCATGGGCACTGCCGTCTCAGTATCCAGTTCTGGATTCATATTGCCAAAATGTGCATCATACTCCTTCTCTCTGATTTGTATGTCTCCCTGGAGAGGACTGTCACAACCTTCACTCACTGGACTTCCACACATTGGCAGTGCCGACCAAGGATCTATTGAGAACTCAGTGTCCTCATAGGACCCAGCCACCTCGTTAGTTTCAACATCATTAAGAAAATCAACATCACTGGAATCGGAATGGTTTCTGCCCATTTTCTTTTTTTTGACTGGTTCTTTCCTGGAATGCTTTTTTGGTTTCTCATTATGTGTCTTGGGAGCAAATATAAATGGCAACTTGAAGACTTCATGTGGTCTGTTTCGATTCATGTTACGTTGCTTGACCATGGCTTGGACTTTGGATGTAGTAGCTATGGAAAATTCCCAGCGCCTGTAATGTTGTGAGCTAAGATCAAAGTTATAGTCAAGAATGTCAAACAGTGTGTGTGGCATGTAGTTTCCTGGGTTCTTGACTGCAAATTTATGGATCTCACACACTACAGCTCTCGTCAATAAATTCAAGTCCAGCTTCTCTTTCTCCCCTGATTTTGATGTGACATCTAGATCCAGACCTATCTCTGTGCAATGGGGAAAACATTTCCCCTTACTCTGTTGATGTGTCTTTGATTTTACGACACTTGTGTTAGGACTTGGCAGCGTGGGTCTTTTCTCCTTAGTTTGAAGTGCCAGCATCCTTTTTTTAATAGTTTCCTTCCTTTCGCTAATCTGCGTGGCAGATGCCTCAACAAGTTTTAAATGCCTGGGTTGTCTTTGTGGCTGAAAAACACAGACTTCATCCAACCATGCGTGTCCACCATCCTTGTGTATTTCTTTACTAAGCCAGACTTTGTTCCATATATCTACAGGCTGCAGGCTCATGTTGAAGTTGTTTTCAATGATTGCACAAATGGTTTTAAGTTTTGACCCACACAATTTTTTGGCAAAACTAGCCACTTCAACGATAATCCCGCTTGTCAATACATGCATGTCAAGTTTATCTTTTGGTTGGTCTTTGTTCACACACAGGTTCAAACCTATTTTCTTGCAGCGAGGGTA